TCTTATCAAACTCTTGAAAAAGAAGAAATTACAATCAGATGAAATGTTCGACCAAACGGAGATATCTCAAAGTTCGTAACAGTTCGCATAATATTTTATATGGTTAAATATATTCGAAATGTTCTTACCTATCAGTCCCTTTCAGATATACGTCAGTGAACCCAACACCCTGTATAGTATACGAAATACCAGATGAAGAATTGAACACGGAGAGTGGTTAATTTTTTGTAGAAAAGATATTATGAAAGAATTCAATACAGGCTGAAAATATATCTTTTACAAAAATCTCTCGTGATTTGAATTTCAACGGCCACAATACCGGGTGACACAGGTTATCGGGCCACCCCTGTAACTTCTGCATTCGTAAACGGATTTTTCTGAAATTTCCGACATTTTATGTAAGGTGTCCCAGAACAACGAACAACTTATCTCTATATGAAAATACACTGTTGAGCCGTGAGAGGGCGATAAAGAACAATTTTATTTCCAAATTTTCTTCTTCGTTTGACTTGGAGCAAGTTGCCATAGATCTTGAAGCAGGATTCATTTGCTCCGCTAATTTTCAGGAATCACAAAAATCCAAAAATCAAATCAGATTGATCAAGTTGGATGACAAATGAAAACAAAGAAAATGGCGAAAAATGCATCAATAATGTATGAATATAGCGAAAAAAAAATTGAATTAACATTGCCGAGGTAATAGACGCGAATTACGACATAATCCTCCAATAATGCCAACGGTTCATCATTCATTTTAATCACTTATTCTTTTCCCTCGATCAACATCAAAGATCAAAACCTCCAATCAAAACAAAATCAAAACAAATTTGGAAATTACTCAGATTAGGCTTTGTTCAGAAATGATTTGTGCCACTGCCTTGTGTTCATTTGTGTTGAGCAGTAAATCAAGCTTTCTGTTTGTTTGAATTGAGCAAGAGAGAACCCGTGTGGGCCACCTAAGTACATGAATCTCTAGAACAAACACTAAGGAAAAAAATGACATCATTCTTGTATTTCGGTGCAGTAACAAATTGCATACATTCAGAAAACTACAACTGTACCTAGATCATGAAGATTGCGCTTGTGTCGACCTGTTCAACGTGAATATGTAACTGCTGGAATTTCCAGAAAAATCGTAAGTCCATCATATTATAGATTGTATAATCTGACCAAATCTGAAATGGTGGCTTATATGAATGTACCAAATTCAAAAATCCGTTTACGAATAATATTAATAATAATAATTCATTTTCCATAAGAAATGCAAATATAAAATACATGTTAACAACATTATAATAAATCATGGTAAATATAAACTCCGCAGTAGCTTGATAATACCTAGTACACGGGAAGAAGATAGATCTAGTGAAAAAATACACAGAAAATAATTTTGTACGTAAAATTAATGAACGGCGGTCGTCAATTTTTTGAACATTAATATTACGAATCGATGATTATTACAATCATTTCTGATGATGGGTTCATACCGCAAGACACTGAAACAATGAACGAGCCAACATTGAACAATGAACGAGAAACATCAAAAGTTAATCATTTTTTTAATTCATGTGATGAAAAACTTCATTGAATCAACGTTTTATGTTTATTGATCTATGTTTTTCATCATTGGAGCAATAAACTTTTCGTCATGGATCTATCAACAACAAACATAAGAAAATAATGAATGGTCTTCATTGTTTCAATGAACACTAAACGTTGATTTCATGAAATGAAACATCAACTTCCAAAACAGGCGCCAAATTAATGTTGCCTACCCATGGATCAATCACGCCAAACATTAATACTATGAAAAGAAACATCAACTTCCAAAACAGGCGCCAAATTAATGTTGCCTACCCATGGATCAATCACGCCAAACATTAATACTATGAAAAGGTTTCATAATACGCGGTGAATTTTTCATTTGCCATTTTATTTTATTTCTATTCGTTCAGTTGTTAATGAAAAGTTGAAAGTGCTGGGTCGTGTTTTGTGTTTCTGTGGCTCGTATAGAATTCCTACCTATTTGTGAAATTGTGTCACATCAATGGGATACTAAACCTAACATATTTGAGAAAGGTGAGTCCTGTTAATTTTGAATTACTTTTTTCACAATTCTTACGATTAGGATATATTAACTCAGCAAACATTGAACTACCGGGAGAATTCCGGCCTAGTGCAGGCAAGTGTGAGAAAGTGTCGATGCCGGTGTATTGGTGATGTCCGATGATTTCTCTATGCTAAGTAACCATCAGTTGAAAATACGATGATGGCCTTGTGATGGTATGATGTATAGAACGAGTTGAGCACTAACGAGTTGTGGCCCCTTGCTGGCCAATATCCTGTTCACTACTCGTCCCACTGGGGGATTTTCTGGGAACGTCTACATCAACAATCAGCTGATCATTTGGATAATTATTATATGTCACTCTAGTGATAGCGTATGTTTCGTTTTTCTCTGGTTTGTTGTCATATCATTGTGCTCATCACTTTCCCTGGTCGTTATAATGGCAGTTATGGTGGCAGGAGTATTCTCAATTGATAATATAGAAGATGGATTCTTCAATGATGATAATATGTATTGAGTAAGTATCAATCTACCTATCTAGTGTTCCAAATTTTGTTATGAAATGCATGTGTTTGTGATGATAATAATTGTAGTGGCTCCTACCTCTCCAGAAGCGTAACTATCATGGACTGCTTTTGGGTGTATGATAAATTGACATTCATCATACAGGGCGTGGAAATGAATTCTGAATTGAGACTCTATCACGAATCTGCGATTATAGAGGTCTATAAAAATCACAAGTTTCCATCGTGGACTGCTTGGTTCGTTACTATCAGAAGTAATATTTGGTTATGGAAACCTGTCTCTATCATTGAAGTGAATAACAATAAGGCCTGTGCCTCCATATGTAAGTATATATCACGTAATCAGACTATATATTGATCAAGTTATGAACTCATGTAACAGAGTATTTTGTTTCTCATACTTCTATGAAGAAAGAATTCTGACATCAAGAAAGGCCACTTCATGATAACTTATGAAGAATTTTATATTTCAGAAGTACCTACCTCGCAACGGAGAATCTATTTTGGAGGAATGCTTCCCAAATAAGATGAAGATGTAGATATACCAGCCGGTAAGCAGTCACTCTGAGGAGTTTTATCTTGGAAGAAGAGAGAGGTTAAGAAGATATTGTGTCATTCATAAATTGTTTCCTTGAAATCTGGTATGTGTCTATTTCATATAATATGATGATAAACATCAAAAAATATATTGAGTTACTAGAACTTCCAGATCAATTGGACCCCTGAAACCCCTACCCTTCCCTCTACCCCTCCTCCTACCCCTCCCCCTACCTCGTTAATATGTAACCAATGTCGTTAATTGGCCATTACAGTCCCATCATTTCTGTTTATGCTGGGCTTGCTATGGGCAACTCAATGTGTCGATTATGTTGTACCCATATCAAAATGTTTGCTGGGTAGGTACTCGTGTGATGCACAAGGTACTATTCTTTCTACAACTACTGGTTATTGTCATCACATTGTTATCATTTTATTTTCTACAGAAAATGAAAATCAAGTTAATTAGGTGTTCAGATCAGTATTTTGCCTGATTTGACAAAATTTCCGTTGTCTTGTATAGGGAGGTTATTAGTTCTTGAAAATACTTACATTGGCAAATAATTCCAAAGCTTCGCCGTTCTATGGACGAACGAGTTTCGGTAGAGTGTAGTTCAACATATTTCAAAGTTAACAAAGAAAGAATGTGCTGACTGGGCCTGTCGAGTTCGTCTGACTGGTATTACTTGTGATTGAATTATAGCAGTGATTTCTGTGGAACATTTCCCTTATTATCAGATACTTAGTTATAATTATATTATAATGAATGGAAAGGGCAACATTTGTTTATTCTGACAAAAAATGTATAAGGTGAGCGAATATTTGTTTTTTGAATATCGTCCAAGTTTATCAGTCTTCGATCATTCAGTGTATTTTTGACATTTTGGAAACATTTTTAGTTGACTTCATTAAAAAATATTCATTACATTTGTTATTCATTACAATTAGGTAGATTTCAACAAAAAAAAAATGATATTTCATTAAGAAAACCATCAGTGTTCTGCGACTGCCTTGTAAATGTATATATTATATTATTCATCAGGTCACATCAAATCAGTGGATGTACTAGATAATTTTGGGCCGATTTTGGGTTTTTCAAAATTTTAGAAATTAATTACTCTGATGCGTGAAAAAATTGTCCCCTTATTACTTATAGTGACGATACTGTTGACAACATTATCTTCGACGACGACTATACCACTGTTAAATACCAATAGAATTTGTTCGTTACATCTATAACTGTCGAACATAGATTCATGCTCATTTTTCATTGATTCAATGAAGAAAATCATCAAGTGATGTCTATCGTTCGTAATATCAATAACCGCCGATCATAGATCCATGCTAGCTGATTATTGATTCAATGTCAGCTGTGATAAACTGAGTCTGTCCTTCGTAACTGGCACTTACATATTCATGCTCACTGTTAATTGATACAATGTACATCAACCATAAACCAATGTTTATCATCATAGATCCATGCTCGCTGTTTATTGATTCAATGTACAACAACCATGAACCAATGTAAATCCATTCGTAATATCAATCACCGGCAAACATAGATCGATGACCATTATTCGTTGATTCAACGTACTGCAGTCATAACTCAATCAACAAGAAAATTTACGTACGACCGTTCATTGTATTAATGAAACCCGTCATCGGCCCAAAATTAATGTTGACGTTCACTGATTTGATGTACTTTTTTATTAATATAACGTACCTTTTTCGTTCTGTGTAATCTAAACAATTACAGTTTAGTAGATTAGTAGAATGCAGAAGTTACACGGGTGGTCTGATACCCTATGTCACCCGGCATATAAAAATCCTGTTCTACAGATAGTTGAATCACGATTCTCTTCCAGTTCTCCATGTCCGACGCCTCCAAGCAGGACCACCACCTCCACCACCACCCCCACCACCGCCCGTTCGCCGCCTCCGCCTTCGGCCTGCGTCATATGGAGGCGTACGGCGCCCTGCCCGCCCACATCCTCAACCACCTGCAGCCGCAGTTCCTCCATCCCGGCCTCACGCTCGGCTCGGGCGGTGCCTTCCGCCCACTGGCCTCCGCCTTCGCTCCGCCCAAAGGCCTCAAGGTCGAGGCTGGGGCGGAGGGGTTGGGCGTGTTCGGTTCGGGGCGGGCGGAGGGACTGGGCGTGGGCGTGTTCAGCCCGGGAAGGGCGGATTCTTGTAGTCCGGCGAGCGCGTCGTTGTCGCCGCCGGCGCAGCAGGGCGTGAAGGAGGAGAGTTTGGACGCGAGCATGGAGGAAGAGGGGGAAGGGCAGTCAGGGCGGGGTGGAGGGGAGTCGCCGGGGAGCCAGCACGAGGAGGGCAGGGGGTTCAGAAGTGAGTGGAAATTTGTCCGTGATTGGTTAATAATTGTTTATGGATGACTTGACTTGAGGGCAAATAACTCCCATAAAAGTGTACACCATATTTAATAGTATATTATGTAACAAGTGTCATAAACGTCCTTTTGGAGTGTTTAATAAACGAGTGTCTAGGAGAGTTTATAAACGCGTTACATACTATGCTTTTTCTACGAGAGTACCTAACTAACACCACCAAAGAGCTCATTTTCGAGTTTTTCTTGCAAAATGAGATTTAAGTAATCCTTTTCGCTATTAGGAACTATATTCAAGAGATTTTTTTTTTTTATGAAATGGATTACTTGAACAGGAACTGATTCCGAATTGATTTAGATAACCCTAAAACAAGAACTTATTTAGGTACCCAGTTCCAGTATGCCCACGAGTCGATAAATGGACTACAATATTGGAACTTTTGTGATACTGTTCCAAGTTTTCGAATCAGCAGGTAACATGAGACAGTTATATTTTTTCTAAATATCATTCTAACTACTTAACAAGCGAAGATGAATATTTGTATAATAGTTATAGTATATCAACTCATACATCTTTCATGATAGAGCAAAATTCCCTGACATGATCAATAACTTTGCCACATATATTTGTATCTGAAAAGTCTTCCAAGAATCCCCCCCCATTGTACTGTTTTGATTGAGGAGCGCAGGGGGCTCAGAAGTGAGTGTCAATTTTTTTGTGATTGGCTATTGATCGTTTATGAATGGCTAGTCTTGAGGTAGTGATTGATTTTGGGATAGTTTGTGTCTCTAATAGGATGATTCGTTGTAGGAATAATTTGATGCTTCATTGGTGTCTTCGCGGCTTACGTACTAATATTATGCAAATTGCACCCCTAACATCATTTTATCGATATTTTATGAGCCAAAAAATATTCCAAAATAAGTCAATATCTTAAGGGAAAGGTATATAGTTACTGAACATTTCCTATTTTGATTATTTGATAATTACCTTTCGTTTTGGATTCCTCAAAAGATTCGAAACCTCGTTCGAAACACTGTGCCAGAATAATTGAAATCGATATATTGTACAAACTGATGAAATAAAAAATAACTGTAACTATAGGCAGACTCAATCCAACAAGAATAATCCGAACACAAATAATTTGTTGAAGCAACAAACCCCCTTTTCCCGTGCATAATGAATATATTTCTGTGGATTCTGTACAATCAACATTTCTTATTGACGGTTTTCCTACTCACATGAGTTAGGGTGATTATGTTCCTGTGGTATTTTCTTACTTCTTCACCTTTCAACCTCTCATCGAGATCGTGTATAATCGTTTCCTTCTGTTCCCCAAATAAATCTCGATTGATTTGTGAGAGGGGGTATAGCGGGGTGCGGTGTATCAATCGGAACCAATAACTGTCTTCATGTTTTTAATTCCTGCAGCCATTAATTATTGTGGGTGAGAATGATTTCTCCGCTTCCGATTCCACTCTACCCCGCAATTGATTCGAAATGAAAGTAATATATCCTTTCCAGGAAGACTGTTAAAACCATAAAAATACTTCGATATTGTAGTGTGTATACGTAACAAGGGTATATGGACGTGTAACCCCTCTCGAATGCCACTCAATCTCTCATTCTCGAGGGTTATTTGATTTCTCCGGCAATAGAAAACGGCCAAAACGGTTGATATATATGAAATTTGAGAAACTTGTTCGGGTGAAACACTTGATTCAATTATATTGAATCGAAAGGATCGCATCGGGTATTCCTTTGAAGCTGAATTTTCTTTTTTTTTTATTTCTTATGCATAGTAATTCCTTCAAAAGCGATAACCATAATCAGGCTACTGAATTTAAGATGGCAGCGCCAAGTTGGCCGGTTGTTGAACTACATGGAAGTACATTGTTTTGAAATGATTCATTTGCTTGTGTGTATTGTTTTTATAGTGATTTGAGCAAAGAAAACTGTTTATTTGTGTACTCTTGTGATTCGATGGAGCTTTTCAGCAGATATTCGTTCAATAAAGTATGTTTCACTATTTAAAATAATGAGATTCGCAATATAAAAAACCCAATTTGAGTTTACGTTAGTTTGCATTTCATTCCTATTCAGTAGTAAAATAAATATTTCAAATTAAGTAGTATGAATATGATGTTCACAAAGTAGTTATTTGAGATGTATATGTATTGTAGTCGATTTATCTACTTACACAAGTTTATGAAAGAGGAGAAGTCCTCAAAGCTGGAAAATTGATCTACCTAGTAGGTCAAACTGAACATATATACCTTTGTTTCTGAGTAAGGATTTCATAATTTTAAATTCCTAATGTAACTTTTCACTACTGGGAATAAAATGAAACTGAATTCAATCTCGAAGTTGGGAGAAAATCTTCCAATTATACACTGATTGAAATTATCATCTTCCCTGAAATAACAGTGAGAAAACTTTCATGAATAACATGTGCATAATGATTTGATACTCTATATACTGAAGAAAAATATCACAATGACCACTGAACTTTCGATAAAATGCATCGAAATTTGAATGTAAACAAACACTCAATGTACTTTCCATTAATAGTCACTTGAATATCTGATGCAAGAGGGCGTATCGCTTATTTTGAATCGCCTATAGCGAAACAGCTTTTTCAATCCCAGCAATGCTCATGTATACCTATTATTGTGCAATGCTTATCATCAAGTTTCGATTGCGTTATAAATTGTTCAATAAATCATCATTACGTATCCATCCAATTAGTTATTAATCAATCATACCATTACTGGGTCGTTTTAGTTCGCTGGACACCTTTTTAACTAAATTATTTTTACATACGGCGGCTTCGCCATCGATATTTGTCCATCAAACCACAACGACAGCCGTGTTTAACACGGATCCCTAAATTGATGTGTCAAAAGGCCCGGATATTAATTGTATGAAAATGTACACGTAGAAAAATGTTTGCTCACTTTGAAGTTCGTATTCCGCGAGCGGCAACAAATTAGTTCTTCAACTTTTCTCATCTCATCTCCATTGATATTTTTATGGCTAGGAAACGATTATGACGCACTGGAGAAGCACAAAGGCTAAAGAAAGCCGAAAGGGCACGTAAAAGGTCCTCAGCCAGATACAATATAATTACACAAAGCTTGGGGTATCATTTTGCGGCTTGGAGTATTCATTAGCTTCTGTCGGACGCCAAAACCCATGGGCGCAGTAAATCTGGCACGAAATAAGAATGTCTACTTATAATGAAACGAAGAATAAGAAATATCGTGGAAAATGAATTCTTATTGGTTTTCTGATTTTTTCGTTTCAGCACACTATTTCGCCGTTTATTTAAAGAAGATTCTCAAAAGAACCCTTCAAATTTTTAACTCATTCAGAAACTCATTCACTCAACACTTTGTTCTTCACCATGAAATACACCTAATCTAAGATGAAAAACCCATATTTCCAATTATACAGGGTGAGTCAATTTTTTGTAGCAGGAGTTCAACAGCTTGAAGAAGATACTATATTTCAAGATGAAAATGGATGAAAAAGTTCCTTTTCCGATATACATCAGGTGGTGTGGTATATTTTGTTTTTTGTGTTTTCTATTCTTGCCACTGACTTCCACCAACACATATTTTAGAAACTTTCGATCATTCCAAGTCTTCTAGTCAATTATCGAGAAAAGTCAAATATAGTGTGTTCAAAAAAGTTTAATCACAAGTAAATTATCATCATTGGTTTTTATTTCGTAATCCATATATATACGGTTTCGAAAAATATTTATGGAAGAACAAGAATTATCGAAATGAAACAGAGAATCTGAATGAATTGATGATATCACTGAAAGCAGAGTCATCACGCAAAGAAATTCAACACTGTTGAATTGGGTACTACCCCTAAAAGTGTAACACTTTGTATAGGTGATCGAAATCGTCTAATAGCCCCTAAATATTGAATTTCTTGACTGTAATAGGAATACCAAATTTCAATTACCTAATTATTTTGAAAAGTGTATAGGATCCGACTTGCAAAACATGGAGAAAATCTCGAACTGACCCCCTATATAATATATCGGAAACGAAGCTCCTACGCATATAATGTACGTATGTTCACATGAAGTTTTTATCTTGAAAATATGTGTTCGTCAAGTGCTGCTATAAAAAACTGACTCACCCTCTATATGTGACTTTTTTTTATCTACGATGGTTATAAACTGTTCCATATTTGATTTAAATCGACAAAATCAAAAAGGTTTTAAGCTGCTCTTGACTTTTTTGTTTGAATGTTTTTCTGAACTATTTTGATGACATTCAATTGAATTTTGCCTATTCTTCACTTCAATAAATACCAACTCGATTCAAGCTTGCTTTGGAAAGATCAGAAAGTATTGAAAAAAACAATGTCCTTCTCTTATATTTTTCCAGCTTCGACCTGAAGTATTATTACAGTGGGATTCTTTTAGTTTCTTTTTTCACCCGGAGATTCAGTATTTTATAGTGATTTCTGGAACGTTGTTTGGATGCGCCGCCTCTGATTTTCCGCCGTTAAAGCGTCGGTTAACGCGGGCGTCGATCATCACAAGAGAGGCAGGAAAGCGGGTCCGTCTTATTATTACGTAATTTTTTCGGATTTTCAGTCGGAAAGCGCCTTCATCTCGCCAAGTGGTTGGGTTTTTGCGGCCGCAGGAAACGGCCAACTAACACAATCAGTCATGGAATTTGGCGAAGCACGAATGACAAGCCAGTGTTTGCACATTTTTAATTGAAATGCAGAATTGCTCTCTACTTTTCAAACGAAGCGGATGTCGGTTTGTTAGGTATGCATTTTTGTGACAAATGATTCCTCCCGTGTTTTGTCAACTTATACCACCGTTACTGTTTGAATAATTTTCCAGGGCGGTATGCAAAAATATGCCGCGATCCAAATGATCATAGTATACCCACTTGTCTGTTAGACGGATTTTCAACTAAAATATCTTCAATACTGTCTGTAGGTTAATCGATGAGGTGGTGTATT